AACGTTCACAGTTTTTGCCTCAGCTAAGCACACAGAGGTTACGTGTTATCTCCACAAACGGTCCAAATCTTGAGGTCCATAGTTAATGTGAGCAATTGCCACTCTGGTCTGAGCAGCTGGTGGAGCTGAGCATTACTGCATCCATGTACCCATCCCCATATTCATATGTGCCTACAGACATGTTCTGTTCTATCTTCTGCCTCGGTGTCATCCTGCCAAATGTCTGCGGTCCAGAGGAGTCTGATGCTGAAGGCTCTGGAAACCTACCACAGTGCTTCATTATCAGGACCATTAGAAAGTCTTTTGTTATGACCTGTGAATCCACAAGTATGTGAAAAACGTTACTCCCTTTCCCTTCACAGCAGCATTTCCTTTGAAAAATATCACACCACCTTTTGCCTTCCTTTGGCTAGTCAGCATCCATTCTATTTGTACTTAGAAGTCTTGTTTCCTACAGCTCTTGCTTCTCCCCAGTACTTCTTTCATGGTGACGGCTGACCATGAGCAGCTTGTGCCCAGGCGGCCAAGAGGCCACCAGCATCCTGCCCTGTATCAGCATCAGTGCAGCAGTGGGGACAGGGCAGAGATTGTGCCTCTGCACTAAGCACTGGTGAGGCTGCACCTCGAATCCTGTGTTCAGTTCTGGGCTCCTCACTCCAAGAGAGACATTGAGGTGCTGGAGCAGGGCCAGAGAAGGGCAACGGAGCTGGAGCAGGTCCTGGAGCACAAGTGTGATGGGGAACGGCTGAGGGACCTGGGGGGTTCAGTGGGGAGAAGAGAAGGCTCAGGGGGGACCTGATGGCTGCCTACAACTGCCTGAGAGGAGGATGGAGCCAGGAGGGGCTGGGCTCTGCTCCCAAGGAACAAGGGATGGGACAAGAGGAAACCGCCTCAAGCTGCCCCAGGGCAGGTTTAGGTGGAGCTGAGGAACAATTCCTTCCCCAGAGGGTGCTCAGGCATTGGAACAGGCTGCCCAGGGCAGGGCTGCAGTCACCGTCCCTGCACGTTTTAAAGATGTGTAGATGTTAGTGACAGACTTAGATGTTTAATGACAGACTTAGCAGGGCTGGGTTTACGTCTTAAAGATCCTTTCCATCATAAATTATCCTATGATTCTAAACCCAGAGTAAAGTAGCTAACATGTCGCTAGCATGAGTAAGCTCAGAGGATACCTCTATGTTACTCTCCCTTTGCATATCCACACAGGACTGCAGCAAATACCTCTTTCTATTTGCACCATCAACTATTAATTACTACCTTCTCAGTGCATTTTCCAACTAATTTTGCATACAATTTGCAGCAGTTTCAACCCTTCCGTGCTTCCTATTTTGGTTTATGAGAACATTATGTGCAACAGAGTAAAAATAATAAGTATTAAAGTCAAGATATGTCATATCCATTTTATACATTCTTGACAAAGCAGCCTGGCAACTGTTCTGGTGTCCCAAACTGATTTCCGATTGCATTTATTCTGTATTTTGGTCGTATTTTTTCAATATAGAACATTGCTATGCTATCTGTTAGTATATCTGTATCTATATGAAATACAAAACCGGGCTATAGTGTAGGATCAAAGGACCCTACACCCAATGTAAGGAAGGATTTTGCTGAAGCACAGAGGGATGTCAGCGTGACCCAGAGTATAACATAAACCTACTGGCCATGCAGATCTCCAGTGGAATCTGATGATGGACATTGTATTCTATTCCTGTGAAGAGAAGAGCTGGGCTGGGTCAGCATGGAGACGAGAAGGCTCCTTAAGGGAGACCTGAGAGCAGCTCCAGTGCCTAAAGGGGCTGCAGGAAAGCTGGAGAGGGGCTTGGGACAAGGGATGTAGGGACAGGCCAAGGGGAATGGCTTTAACCTGCCCGAGGGGAGACTGAGATGAGCTCTTAGGCAGAAGCTCTTTGCTGTGAGGGTACCTAGGTGCTGGCACAGGGTGCCCAGAGAAGCTGTGGCTGCCCCATCCCTGGCAGTGTTCAAGGCCAGGTTGGACACAGGGGCTTGGAGCAAGCTGCTCTAGTGGAAGGCGTCCCTGCCCGTGGCAGGGGTTGGAGCTGGATGAGCTTTAAGCTCCCTTCCAACACAAACCAGGCTGGGATTCTGTGATGCATGCTGCCACTCTAGCATGGGGGGAGATAATCCAAACATACTTTGCTATGTAATGACTAGGAAAAGTACCAATGGAGGGAGGGAGGCAGGATGCCACACAGCTTCTGCATACATGCTCTGGGGGCTTCAGAAACATAACAGATCTTACCATACCATCACCAAAAGCTGCAACATCTGCTGTTCACACCTATGCTTTACACGCTTTGGGCCACCAAATTACATCGAGTAGAGCAGTCTGAAACTCAACAGAGCTGTTGGTACACACTAAGTTCATAGACCCATCTTGCTCTGAATAACCACCCTTGGCCACATGAAAAGGCTGGCCAGCTCACTATTCTGTCCCTCAGAGTAGGCTGCGATAGATGCTTAAATAAGAACGTAAGAAGCAGGTCAATTATAGGGAGATTCTCCCTGTGAATATATCCTCCAAGCTTCCAGCAACACACAGTTTAGGAATTTACTGAGTGAAATCTTTCTTTAATGATTTCACACCCCCTCTTCTCCCCAGTTTTATGACTCCTTTTTGAGCACAGCTGCATTTCAGACATTCACAACATTCTACATAGCCATGAGGATGGAGCTCCCACCTCTATCGCTGCAGAGAAAAAGCCTGAACAAAGTTTGGGATCCAGAAACCTATTTTGGTTCATCTCAGATACAGCCCACATGGTCCCAGACCACATCCCCCCAGTGTGTACAGTAAAACGAACACGATTTGCCACATTCTCAAGGGATTTGAAGACCAGTTAAAACATTTTGGCTGCAGCACAGAGGACAAAGACTGGTTCTGTATGGGATGGCAGTACTGCCAATACCGTGTATGCAGTGGAGGACATGACAGGGTAGCAGAGGAGTCAGCTGTATCTCATCTTTTATTCAGATCTGCAAGCCTGACAGCTCTCACCATTTGCCAGCTGGTGACAGGTACATTTAAAAAAAAAAAATATTATTTTTCTGACATCCTCGATTCTCTAACAAAGGAGCTATTTAAAAATTCAACATGCTCCCTTGGAAAGCTTTAAAATAGTTTCTGAATGTAACTGGCATTACGCTGTAACCCAATATTAAATAGTTTTGGGGAGGAATTGTTGAAATTGTTGAGGAAAACCTACATTTAAGTGTTACAAAGGAAAGGATGTGCTGCTATCTATGGGAAGCACAGGGCTGTCATGCAGAAGGATCTGGCCACCACTAGTTTTTCTGGATCTGGACAAGTAACTAGAGGAGGTCCCTATCTCAAGTCAGGAATGAAGAAGACTTATCTTGACTGTGCCATATTCTGTCTTTACACAACTCAAAGACATCTTGCCCTTACAATCCAGGCAGTAGCATGCTACAGCTGTAGTCTGCAGCTGCCTAAAGTTTGGAGAGCTTTGATCTTTGAATCTTCTGCTCTCCAAGCTCTTGCATGACCAGAAAAATATGAAGTAAGAACAGAAGAGGAAGAGAGAGGTACGCAGCAGGATCTCAGTTCGACATTTAAAATCACATTCCTTTATGGATCATCAGAAGTCTTTCAATCTCCTGTAATATTTTAAAATAAAAGCAGATCAAAACAGAACCTCAGCAAATTTTAAATCATCTGAATAAATGTGTTATTCACTGCAGCAAAGAATTTAGTGCCCTGTTCATCTCCTTCCAGTATTTTGCATCTAGTGGTCATAGTGTGACTTTAAGCATTGCCTAGCTCTGCAAAAACTGAGTGGAGGACAGAGATATATTTATTGCAATTAAAATCTGTTATTTTCTACCAGGAATCATTACTCAGATTCTCAGTATGAACATTAAAGCCACCATCAGCTGCAGAAGTAATTAATTAACAGCTAACTGTTTTCCAAAGTCATACTCCATGGAGAGCCACACTGGTAACAGCTTATACTCCACAGCTATTTAATTTTGTTTTCTTCTAACATGTTTACTTATCCAAAGGAAGTGCTGTGGAGAGACACTTTGCAGGAGAAAGCCAAGAGCGTTCACATACAGAAAGAAAACTGGGGTCTTCCAGTATCTGAAGGGGGCCCCAGTATCTGGGGAGGGACTCTTCATCAGGGACTGTAGTGACAGGACAAGCGGTAATGGGTTAAAATTTAAACAGGAGAGATTTAGGTTAAATATCAGGAATAAATTCTTCCCTGTGAGGGTGCTGAGGCGCTGGCACAGGGTGCCCAGAGAAGCTGTGGCTGCCCCATCCCTGGCAGTGTTCAAGGCCAGGCTGGACACAAGGGTTGGAGCAAGCTGCTCTAGTGGAAGGTGTCCCTGCCTGTGGCAGGGGGCTGGAACTGAAGGAGCTTTAAGGTCCCTTCCAACACAAACCAGTCTGGGATTCTATGGTTCTACAGCCCAGGGAATATGCCAGCTCCTGTTCTTAACTATTCAAAAAAAGTAATTCCCTATATAATAATTTATTGGCTGGTAATGGCAGTAAGAGAAAAGAAAAATTGGTTGGTGATGAAAGTTGGCTTTTTCTTCCCTAGAAGATAGGTTTCTAACAAGAGGCAGTTAACAGAAGCTGATGCTGTCCTTATGGAGTGAAAGATTCATAGAATAGTTTGGGTTGGAAGGGACTTTCAGAGGTCATCCAGTATAACCCTTCTGCATAAAGCAGGAACATCTTCAACTATCTGGTTGCCCAGAACCACATCCAGCCTGGCCTTGAATGTCTTCAGCATCGCAGCTTGGGAATTCCTTGCCAGGAGAATTCTGGCTCTGCCAAGTTAAAGATGTTGTCCAGAATCACAGTGGAGGCCCAGAAAATAAGGGAGAAAAACTCAACATTTTAATACTTTTTAAACTAAATTGATAAGATGATGAGTATTTTCCACTTCTCAAGAGGATAAAGAGATCAGATAAACCACGTGTAAGCATCCTCTGAATAATGTATCACTCACCAGATCTATATTTTGCATTATGTCCTGGAAGGAAGGGTGAGTTCGGAACTGCTCAAAGAGATCCCGCTTGTAAAGCAGCGCGTACACCAAGTTTGGGTTGTGATGAAGGGAATTTGTCAGGCAGGAGTTGATGATCTCCAACATCATTCGGATCACTTCCTCGATCACATTCAGGTCTTGCGCCTTTAAGAAAGGAATAAAAGGTTAGTGTGCCCTTTTCCATTGTAAAATCTGTAAGGTAGTAAGATAACGCACAGGTAATTATTACTAATGGAGCTATTAGCTGGTTAAAGTCTCCACAGTGAGCAAATCTGCCGTATCTATCTGGAAAGAGATCTGTTTTCTCCTGTAATAACCAAAATCTTAACTGAAATGCACTGCACTCTAGCATTCAACCTCATAGCTTAATTCTCTCAATAGCAGCCATCTTCTCATGCCAAAAAGCGTTAACATATTGTAATCAGCCAAATTCATTAGGGGTTAAGTGAATTTAAGTCTTTTCAACCCTTCCTATGCTAACTAAAAGCATTTCAGGATACATTTAATTCAGTACATTTCCTGGTGAGCCCCTGCTTGGGGAACAGGGATAGGAAGAAAAAGAGAGGAAAAAATATAAAAATTAAAAGTGGCTGGTGAAAGAGAAAAGCAAAGACAGTAGAACAAAACTGGCTGGATCAAACCTCACTGACCCCTCAACATCTGCCACTGCTCTCCAGACTTTATCCTGGCCTTTTTTTGTGTGTGTGTATTTTTAGCATAGAAGAATACTTGTAATGAATGATAAAAGACATCTTCTGTAGTGCGCTAAGCCTTAATGCTCAAGATAAACTTGTAGAGCTTTTCATCACGTCAATGCCTGTGGCAAACCATCCCTGATGACTGTGAAATTCAAACTTTCTAAACTGAGCAAGCTGGCATGAGAACCCTTGCTAGCTGCCTGGGTTTCTCTCATTGGGCTGCCCATCAGGATGTACCTGATACAGCTGTTCATACGGGAGAGCTGTCTGCCCTCCCTTGGGATAGTGTAAAAAAGGCAAATCTACTTTGTTTGTTTTGTTAGGTCTCTCCACCACATCAAACATTGGATTGTGAGACTTCACAGGTCTGGCAAGAACGCGAAGCATACCAAACCGGCTTGAGTTTTTCTGTTTAGTATGAACACTGAAACCACTGGTATTTCCTTTTGCCGACTGCCTACAAAGCACTCATTTTCTGAGTTATCAGAAGGCACTTAAATACTTCACAATGAGGCTGTTCTCGCAACAGCATTTTGTTGGACTGTCATTCAATTCATACGTAGTTATTTTCTTCTATAAGGTAGCATTGTAGGAATCATCACTTGTCAGATATATGCTCTTAGCAAGGCAGAAGAGAACACGGGAACATGTCATTACCCTAGTTAGATTCAATTAAAGAGCAAAATTCTTTGGTACCACTTTGCTCTGGCTACTTTCAATGGAAAACAAAGATAAGTTTCTTCCTGCAAGGGCAGCATCATTCCCCTAACCTACTCCTCCATCTCTACCATGGTGCTGAGGATGCTGAAACGCATCAGCACTATGATCTGGTTACCCACACTGCTTGACTTCTGCATGGACAAAGGAGATTTAAGTGATGAAAGCTTTCTTAAATTTGAAATTTTGAAATTTGAGGCACTGGCACAGGGTGCCCAGAGAAGCTGTGGCTGCCCCATCCCTGGCAGTGTTCAAGGCCAGGTTGGACACAGGGGCTTAGAGCAAGCTGCTCTAGTGGAAGGGGTCCCTGCCCGTGGCAGGGGTTGGAACTGGGTGAGCTTTCAGGTCCCTTCCAATACAAACCAATCTGTGAGTCTATGATTCTGTAATTCTTGTCTAAAGAACAGTATTTGGTGCATACACTCCAATTAAATCTCCCTCTTCAGCAATGATGCCTGACTGTGGAGGTTACCAATTTTTTTCTCAATGTGAGGATCTCCTCCTGTTTCTTTATTGACTTTGCCTCTGTCACCTGAATTACCACTGTAGTGTGGTAATTCACACTGCAGTGTGCTAGCCATGTTTGCAGAAACCCTTACACAGCTGATCACTGCAACTACTTAGCCTGTCAATGTGATCGCATTCTTCTATGACAGAAAAATCTTTACATTCAAAACACAGGTGGCTCCTCTGTAGCTTCCTATTTATAGTGCTATAAAATAGCATCCTTGTTAGAGGATGTGAAATGTATTTAATGCAAAAGATTAGACAAAAACTGAAATAATTGCTCCAGCAATCCAGACCTGGCTAACTCATCTGGGGAGTGGTACTTGCCTGTCAACTTGGATTTATGTCAGAATATAGTATATTATGGTGGCTTTTAAAAAGCTCTAAGCATTGCTGTAATTCTCTCCCTAGTGCAACAGGATGACCTGGTGACTGAGACACTATCCTAAAATACAGAATACATCACCTCTGCAGAAACATTCAGGATCAAGTGAGATCTATCCAGTTACCAGAAAGGTAACAAGCCAAACAATTGCTTTTCGAAAACTAAATGCTTTTTAATAAGCTATGCTGAACTTAAAACCTGGGCATCATAGCGAGTTTAATCAGAAAACATTGCTAACCGTCTCCAAACATGTTATTTCAAGAAAACGCAGTCTCTGCTTTAGCTCAGTTTCAAACAATTAAAATCTACCAGAGGTTATTGCTCAGTAAATACATTTTAAACTTTTAGAAGCTGATGGACAGAACCAACCATCTCTTTTTCAGCTACTGTATTCCAGGTAAGGAATCTGGGACCATAATGAAAAAAAAAACCAGGAGCTACAGTGAAGATTTTTACTGACAAGTGACTATATAAAGAAACCATTTAGAAGAAGACTGAGCTCCATAAAAGACAGAGAAGTGGCACTGAATCACAGTATTGCATATATGCTACCTGGAGAGCTGTATGCTCCTATAATTAGCAATTAAAGCATTTGTAAAGGCTTAAAAGTTTTCAAAACAGGAAAAAACAAGCAGAAAGCCAAGGACAGCGTTTGGATGAGACAATGGAGAACTGCTGTAACAGCTGACAAAATGCCACGAGCTTTTATTGCTGACCAGTATCAAGCTATACCCCCCCTGCATCTAGACATGGTGTAACAACAGATACACATAAGGTTACAGAACCGTTTGAGCTGCTGAAGAGAAGTTTATTACCCTGTATATTAGCTTTCAGACTGAACACAGCTGAAATGCTCAACAGGTATGGCCAAGACAAGGACTACCACATCATCCACTGCAATCTTGTAAGGCCGTATCTTTGACTGAATTAGTTGTCCTGTGACAACAATCTATATTTCAATGGGAGAGGAGTTAAAAGTAATGGCATTTTCCTATTGCTTACAATTGGCAAATTCAACATGGCATTCACATTTAAAATTATTACAGTGTTCCTTTACAAAACAGGGCTCAGATAATGCCTCTGTTGACACTGATGAGCACCAGTCCTCCCCCTCGTTTTCTTTTGTTTATGCCCATATAAATAATTATACCTATCATTAAAGGAAACGTGAAAGCTAAAGCTTGGTACCAAATTTCTGAGACTGAAATCATGACTACAAAGGGGATGGAGATGTAGGCACAGCACTGGCATTAATGCAGGTAATCCTAGGCAACCACCCCACAGTTTCTTCTCAGGAATGGAATTAAATGTGCTACCTTTTCTGGCAAAGATTTTAATTTTTAAGGCAAAAAGCCAGATGCTTGGTCATGTTCTAGTTGACAAGGAACAAAGCAGGCATTAACAGGTACAAGAGATCCAGGTACAGTTGTGGGTAGCCTGGGTCTCTCTTGTTGAAAGGAAAAGGAACAAGCAAGTGATAATGCCAGAGAAAAGAGAATGAAACCAAGCTGACAGGATGCAGAGGAAAAAACAACGAGCACAGGAATGAGAACATTATCTGGAGAAAAATAATTTGAGTTTGGTAAACACTAATAAGGAACACACAAATGTGCAAAGCCAAAGCAAACTATGAGCAGAGCTGGATGTTCTCATCTCTGACCATCCTGGAATGCTGTTGCTTTCCTTACTGCAATATAATTAATAATTAGCATGGTATCCTTCTGGAAAAAGACTTCCAGAAAATTCGATACTTATATACTGCTGTAAAGACACCTATGTGTAAAAACAGTTGAAAGTATATGGCTTATAAAATACCAGAGAAGTCAAGCAGCCTAAATACCAAGATACAAGAATCCAGTGTCACCAAAAAACTGCTTAATTTATGGTAGCCATCTCCTGGTTCCTACATCAGAACATTCTGAGTGCTCACCCTTTTAATTTACCATTAATTTTGATTTTTGTAATAATAAAGAACTGGATAAAAAAGTTCTATTATGAATGAATGCAGATCTCCAGTGTCTAAATGTTGACTACTCTTAGGAGAAAATGGGAAGCATGTCCATGTGTCAATAAGGTAAACTTTTGCTTAATCATCCCTTGGGGCTTGTACTATCTAATAAAAAACCAGACAAAATTAATTTGTTTTCTTTCCTCCTATTCTATTTCGTATGGAAAATGATAGTTATTTGAAAACCAGAATTTCAGTCACTTGTGTTGTGATGAAGAGACATCTATAGCAAGGATGGACACGAGGCTCTTTCACGATGAAATAAGCTTTGTGGTTAGGTTTTAGAGAAAGGAACACTTTTAAAACTCCCGTTAGCCTTGCTGAAGACATTTCCTCTGTGATTGCAGCCTGTGACCCCAGCAGCCCGATGACCACTTGGGCCTGCCTCAGGCTGCCACATGAGATGTGTCCTCACTGCAGAACTGACTCAAGTGCTCCTGTCCCTGCTTTGGCTCTGAGCCATGCAGAAGCCTCTTGCTTGAACCTGGCTCATCTGTTGATCCTCAGTCCTGGGCACAGGCTATAAGCCAAGCACTGCCCAGTGCTGTCTGGTACCTGGGGTATTCCACAGCATGGATGCAACCTGCTCTAGTGGAAGGTGTCTCTGCCCATGGCAGGGAGTTATAACTGGATGAGCTTTAAAGTCCCTTCCAACACAAACCATTCTGTGATTCTATTCTATGATTCTAAAAAGCACTAGTGTACAAACTTTCACATCATCTCCACAAGTTGTATCATAATATGATTATATATTTATTTATTCACTCACTTAAATACAACAGTATTTTTTTTTCTTTTTATCCGGATGTATATTAGTATGCAATCCAAA